CTTTTCTCTTGATTACAAAATCAGGATCTTTCAGCTATGAAATTCTTCAGGTACAAAAACCATGATTCATTTTTTTCTTTCAGGGCATATATATGCTGCCTGTATGCTATCAGAAGGCTTTATTTATCCCCAAGGGGCAACTAACAAACAATGGCCCCTTGGGCAACTATTCAGCAGATGTGACTGGACAAAGCCGAACGCTCCACATATGTGACATCATGTGCCACACATAAGTACGGTTGTGTCTTAGAGGAGAATACCAGAATAAAGTCTTTAGTCTTGGATAAAAATGCCTCCCTGCACACATGGCTGCACTGAGACTGCCGTCCATGAACCATGAATCCAGTGTTGAACAGTTGTGTCTGTGTAAAAGGCCGTGACAGAACTGGCACACTCGTGTAAACATGCCGGGTAGCAGAGTAAATAAGTGGTAGATGTAAGGGGTCAGACAAATTCAAGACCTTCAATCATCAGGACACAGATGATCAATCAAAGGATAACTGATCAGTTCAGGTCGGGGGATGTGAGCAGTGATGAAGTGGGTGGAGCTGCTTCACCGAGAGGCTGAAAAAGAAAGAGAGTCAGTGTTTCAGACATCTGTCCAAATCACAACCGCGTTGGCAAAAGTACAGACATCCTGTACTTAAGTCCAGATACTACTGTTAAAATACTCCAGTAAAGGTTGAAGTACTGATTCAACTCATTTACTCGAGTAAAAGTAAATAGTACAGCTCCAACATGTACTCAAAGTAAGACAGCAAATAGTTCTTTGGAGGGCATTTCTATTTTTGTGCAAAGCATAAAGTTGATGTGAAGGTGGGATTCAGTCAGTGGGTCTCAGCATCATCAGCTCATATGAATCTGTGACCATGAACCCACAGCCACTGTGCACCAGTCACACACTGGTCTGTACTTTAAACCCAGTGAAGCAAACCAGCCTGTTTATCCTGCAGAGGAGCGTCATGCAGCATACAAAATGTTGAGGTGGGTATTGTAGCTGACATTGTTGCAGATTTGATCCAGGTGCACTTCGAGGATGAAGACTATGAAGAGTGTGAGAGCTAGATACTTACAGTGTACGATACAAAGCTGCGCCTCTGCCTGAGGAGAAGGACACAGAGAATGGCGGCGATGACTGTCTGGGCCAGAGTGAAGACCAGGAGGGACGACTTCACTCCCCGGCTCAGCCTCTGTTGTGAAAAGTACATTTCACACAAATGCATTAATTATTGCACCACTGCATTTATCCGTGCTCGGTGCCATTACTGATGCTTTCGCTGTATACAAGCAAAGTAATCCCTCCATCGATCTACTGAAACTAATGAATAAATGTCTGGATGGATCATTAACATGGATGATGAGTTATTTTAAGTCTATATTTTATTGAAAAGAGTATGAAGGCAAGTGGGAAATTCTTATTTTGAAATTCTTTATCATATTTCCTG